ATGTAGTGTTATACTTTTACAGGATTCGATCGAGTTGTACAATATTCGTTTACTGAATTTTAAATGTTTTTAATTTATATAGTTTAATATTATACAATTTTTTTTTTTTTTTTTTTTTTGATGATGATCATAATATATTATATTATAAATATCTCATTTCGATGTTGAATAACCGTGGTACGGATATCTGAACACTTAGAGTGTTGTATCCAGTGACACAGCCGACATTTATTTTCTAGAGGGGTAACATTGAGTAAGGTTTACGAGTAAAATCTTCAAATTACAAAGGTAATTATTTAACTTTGATTTATAGACTAGCTGTTAAACCAAAATTATTTATATTTTACGAACGGGCATAATTATGCCCCTTATGATAATGTTGATAAACAAATACAATTATAATTTATAAGTAAATAATACTCTAGTATTATGTTTAACAGAATATAATAATTTTAGCATAAAAAAAAATATACAAAATACAATAATACTGGTAAAAAAGTTCAATGACACATGAACTGAGAAACTAGAATTAGTTAAGTTACGGTTTTAGGGAAAAAAGTTCCAGTTTCTTAATTAGTTTTATATTTATATCTAAAAAATAATAACGGAGAGYTCGTTGAATGAGTGACAGTATGAAATATAACTCATAAAAAATTACTAACTTAAATATACATTTATACCGATGATTAACAAAGACATTTAAAACACTTTTACGATTTACAATAGATCAATTTTAACTAATATGTTTTCATTAAATGAATCCATTTTTTTTACTTAYGTGGATGGATAACCCATAATACTTCATGATTAAAAATGGAATAATTGTCTTTAGTTTTTATCGACAGGTTTTATTTTTATTAATTATACAAAGCCAGACTGTACAAGACGTATATTAGCTATATACCTATTCTATATTATCATCATATTTGGTATATTGATTTACTCATTGTTTTTTTTTTTTATAGATATGCGATAGCATATTCAATGATTATATTTAGGTTTACGGACAATATAAAAATTATATTATWATAGGTACATGCGATATTATGTATTTATTAAAGTTCATGCA